AATGACCTTACCTGACCTTAAAGGTATCCTAGAAGGTTGTAACAGAACCCATGAGCACCACACCAGAAACAAATACCTATTTGATATTCCAAGAGTACGACTTAGTCAAACTAGAAATGCTTTACAAATCAAGGACCCAGAATGTGGAATGACCTTCCCAACCATGTTAAAGACTGTACCTCTCTCAACCAGTTTAAGATAAAAACTAAGTACTACCTAATTAACTCCCTGTAACCTACCTTACCCCTATATTGTCAACCCATGTCTGTTATATTAAACAATGCTGTTTGTCGACCAAATTGTATATTTGCTATTTTTCTGCCATGTTCCCCCTTTTTTAATTTTATATTTTCTCAGCACAATTTGTAATTTAATCTCAATTAGTATTCGTAGAAGGTTGTAACAGAACCCATGGGCATCACACCAGAAACAAATATCTATTTGATATTCCAAGAGAGCGCCTGAACCAAACTAGAAATGCTAAAGGGACCCAGCATGTGGAATGACCTTCCCAATCATGTCAAAGGCTGTACCTCTCTCAACCAGTTTAGGAGTAAAACTAAGTACTACCTAATTAACTCCATGTAACTTACTTTACCCCTTAAATGTCAACCCATGTCTTTTTTTTTAAACAATGCTGTTTGTTCTCCAACTTGTACAATTGATGATTTCTGCCATGTTCCCCCTTTTTTATTTTATTTATTTTTTAACACAATTTATACCTAACCCCAATTACTATTAATTAGTTTTAGTTTAAGTGGTTTTTCCCCCCCCACACCTTGCCCGAAACTCTATGCGTATTAGTGGCTTTAGGTATTGTATGTACTAGCTCTATCTATAAATCCAACTTTATGTTTGCAAATCATCTATGTATGTACTTTTCCTGAATAAAAAATTGAATTTGAATTTGATGCGGTCGTAGTGTGCAGTCTGCTCTGTGTGTGGAAGCTGGAGCGTCTTGGGTCGGTTGGAAGTGTACACGCCGAGTGCTACATTCTTGAGGGTGAAGAGGTCTGGTAACTCCGAAGCGTCTTTACTGAAGTTAACTGAATCATTGTGGAAACTGTACTGTTGGTACAATTGTACGTATGTACTGTTGTACAGTATGTACAACAGTACATGTTGTACAGTATGTACAACAGTACATGTTGTACAGTATGTACAACAGTACATGTTGTACAGTATGTACAACAGTACATACTGTTGTGCAGTATGTACAACAGTACATGTTATACAGTATGTACAAGAGTACATACTGTACAACATGTACTGTTGTACATACTGTACAACATGTACAAGAGTACATACTGTTGTACTGCATTCGTTGTTGTTGTTATAGATTCAGCTACTCGGAACAAGTTCCAAGTAGCACGGGTTATGGTAAGCCCGTAGTGGACTTACCTGGCACAGGAGCGGTGCTGTGTGTCCGGTTGGCTATTGATTTGATTGATTGATGAAGATTAAGCCACCCAAGAGGTGGCACGGGCATGAATAGCCCGTAAGTGGTGGCCCTTTTGAGCCATTACCAGTATCAAAAGATGATACTGGAGATCTGTGGAGGCGCAACTGCACCCTGCATGACGGGAGATGTCTCCCTTGTGAATGTGTTAAGATGAAGATGAAGCCACCCAAAAGGTGGCACGGACATGAATAGCTCGTAAGTGGTGGCCCTTTTAAGCCATTACCAGTATCAAGAGCTGATACTGGAGATCTGTGGAGGTGCGAATGCACCCTGCATGACGGGAGATGTCTCCCTTATGAATGTGTTAAGATGAAGATGAAGCAACCCAAAAGGTGGCACGGGCATAAATACCCCGTAAGTGGTGGCCATTTTAAGCCATTACCAGTATCAGGAGCTGATACTGGAGATCTGTGGAGGTGCGAATGCACCCTGCATGACGGGAGATGTCTCCCTTGTGAATGTGTTAAGATGAAGATGAAGCCACCCAAAAGGTGGCACAGGCATGAATAGCTCGTAAGTGGTGGCCCTTTTGAGCCATCACCAGTATCAATAGATGATACTGGAGATCTGTGGAGGTGCGACTGCACCCTGCGTGACGGGAGATGTCTCCCGGACCAAATGGTGACCAGATGGTGGTTTGGCTATTCGCTTCTCGATGCTTATATTATTGGACTACACCTCAGCTTCGCTCAAAGGATAGAAAGAATATTACCTGTAATTAGGGAAAAGATTATAGCTCTGCAATTAGATTAGATTAAGGACCTGCCCGAAACGCTGCGCGTACTAGTGGCTTTATAAGAATGTAATTACTATGGTATGTATCCTCATAATCCTAATGTACCTTCTTGTATATAAATAAATTAGTGCTAATGAGGTTGTCACTAAGGTAATGAGAAGTTGGAGCGAGTATATTGTTTACTCGCTACAATCTAAACAACATTCACATAACCAGATAGAACTCTCCAAGGATGGTTATACACCTGCAACAGATCTAGAAACGGCAGCTGAATATAATAGCTTCTTTTCATCAGTTGGTGCTAACCTTGCCAGAATAATCCCACACACTCAGATCCCACAGACACATGTTACCACATATCTCTCAAGCAGCTATCCAAACTCTCTTCTCCTCTCACCAGTCAGCCCGACAGATGTTGTGTCCATCAGTCAGTCACTAAAAAACCTAAGCTGTGAACATCAGTGAAATACCATCGATGATTTACAAGAGTGCCTCCCATGCCCTTGCGCCACCCATAGCTCTGCTGTTCAACAAATGTCTAGAGTATCATACCTTCCCTGATATCCTTAAAAAAGCAAGAGTAACGCCAGTTAATAAAGAAGGCAATCCGGCGGACATAAACAATTACAGACCAATATCAAATCTGCCTATATTATCAACAATATTTGATAAAAATATTTACAAACAGCTTTACTCCTATTTCGTAAAATTCAACATACTAAGTCCCTGTCAGTCAGCTCCCAAAAGAGTACCAATGATGCAATTATTAGTCTGCTTGATATAATCTACTCAGCCCTTGACAAAAATGAGTTCCCGACTGGACTCTTCATTGACCTGAGAAAGGCCTTTGATACTGTTAACCATAACTACCTCTTACTTTAACTCCGCCATTATGGAATCCGAGGCTGTGCCTTGAATTATATCCGATCCTATCTTAGTGACAGACGCCAATATGTAGCCATCAATGATATAACATCTCCCATTCTTCCATTTGTAGGAGTGCCACAGGGCAGCATCCGAGGTCCTCTCCAATTTCTTATATACATTTATTTATTTATTTATTTATTTATTTATTTATTTATTTATTTATTTATTTATTTATATACAAGACGGTACATTGGGGGTTAAGAGAGTACTTAGTTATGATGATGATTTTACATTCTTGTAAAACCTCTAGCACGCATAGCGTTGCGAGCAAGTCCTTAATGTAACACATAAATTTAAGTAGATAATTTCCAGTAAAATTTACAAAAATTTTGTACAGGTACATTGTAAGAAATTTTAACACAATAAACAAAGATTAGATTAGTACACAATAAAAACAATGCACTATAATAACACGGATTACTAGGTACATTAGGGTCAAATTTCAGGGTTATCAATTGGTTCATAGTAGCACAATTTGAGGATCATTTCAAGGAATAATGCAGTAGAATATGCACTAAATATAACAACGATGATATGAGATGATATCAAAGATTACACTGGTAGAGTAATATGGCTTAGGTACATATATTGGGGAATTGGGTAGCACTAGGTACAGTGAGAGTTAAAGCACTAGGTAGAAAACTATGAAGATGATGTTAGGTACTTTTTGTTTTTGTTTCTGAATAAGGCAAAAGTTGGACAGCTTTTCAATTCATTAGGGAGTGAGTTCCATAGACCAGGACCCTTTATTTGCATTGAATGTTTACACAGATTAAGTTTGACTCTCGGGATGTCAAAGAGATATTTACGTCTGTTGTGGTGATTATGTGTTCTATTACAACTGTCCAGGAAGAGTTTCAGAACAGGGTTTGCCCCTAAGAAAAGGGTTTTGTAAATGTAATTGGCACAAGAGAATGTGTGGAGTGAATTTATGTTTAACATGTTTAGGGATTTAAACAGGGGAGCTGTGTGTTGTCTGAAAGCAGAGTTTGTTATTGCTGATCAATTATCAATGACTAATGATCACATCAATGATCTGTCTAATGTCTCCAACATTCTCACACCTATATTATTTGCTGACGATACTACCATCATCTACTCAGACCCCAACCCACACACACTAAATAATGTTGTAAACAATGAACTAATTGTTTAAATGAACTGGTGGAACGCCGGGGAAGGTATTACAGTAGTTGGTGGAACGCCGGGGAAGGTATTACAGTAGTTGGTGGAACGCCGGGGAAGGTATTACAGTAGTTGGTGGAACGCCGGGGAAGGTATTACAGTAGTTGGTGGAACGCCGGGGAAGGTATTACAGTAGTTGGTGGAACGCCGGGGAAGGTATTACAGTAGTTGGTGGAACGCCGGGGAAGGTATTACAGTAGTTGGTGGAACGCCGGGGAAGGTATTACAGTAGTTGGTGGAACGCCGGGGAAGGTATTACAGTAGTTGGTGGAACGCCGGGGAAGGTATTACAGTAGTTGGTGGAACGCCGGGGAAGGTATTGCAGTAGTTGGTGGAACGCCGGGGAAGGTATTACAGTAGTTGGTGGAACGCCGGGGAAGGTATTACAGTAGTTGGTGGAACGCCGGGGAAGGTATTGCAGTCTTGAGCAGTGTTGCTGCAGATTGACGCTTGTACAACTTGGAATTTCTTGCCAACATGTATTATTGTAATTATTGCATCTGGGATTATTGGGAACCTTGAAGTGTTTGCCATAGAATTTCTTTGACGGTGGAGTAGCTGCCACATTTTTGTCTATGTGGTTGCTACACTTTGATGGAATGTTATTGTTATTGTTTTTGTTTTGTGAGTATTAAATTTGGCGGGACGTGACGTCATTAACATGGCTGCCACCTAGGCCGTGACGTCACAGACGGGACACCCACAATGGCGGCTGCTCGGGACAGCGACATTTCGTTGTGGCTTCACAATAAACTGGGAACATCAGCTGACACCTGGTCCGAGGGCTCTATTTGTGCACAGTTGAATGTCGAAGTGCTCAGGAATATCAAGGAGTGTTTCGTGGAGCTCCAGACGCAAGTTAAACTCAAATTACTGCTATCGTTCTTTCACATCCCCAAACGCAATGTTGAAGAGGTGAGTGGGAGACTGTGTGTTGCTGGTGTTGTGTTGCGGGCGTGTTGCGGGCGTGTTGTGTTGGCCAGGGCGGCGGTGGGTGTGTTGCGGGCGTGGTGACACCCGGGGACTGGTGTTGAGGCTGTGAGAAGCTTGTGTTGTTGTTGTTGGTGTTGCTGCGGCGAGTGTCGCTCCGTGTTTGTTTACTGTGTTGGCTGGCGTGGCTCCCTGGTGTTGCGGGGTGTGTTGTGTTGGTGTTGCAGGGTGTGTTGTGTTGGTGTTGCAGGGTGTGTTGTGTTGGTGTTGCAGGGTGTGTTGTGTTGGTGTTGCAGGGTGTGTTGTGTTGGTGTTGCAGGGTGTGTTGTGTTGGTGTTGCGGGGTGTGTTGTGTTGGTGTTGCGGGGTGTGTTGTGTTGGTGTTGCAGGGTGTGTTGTGTTGGTGTTGCTGGGTGTGTTGTGTTGGTGTTGCGGGGTGTGTTGTGTTGGTGTTGCGGGGTGTGTTGTGTTGGTGTTGCAGGGTGTGTTGTGTTGGTGTTGCAGGGTGTGTTGTGTTGGTGTTGCGGGGTGTGTTGTGTTGGTGTTGCAGGGTGTGTTGTGTTGGTGTTGCAGGGTGTGTTGTGTTGGTGTTGCAGGGTGTGTTGTGTTGGTGTTGCAGGGTGTGTTATGTTGGTGTTGCTGGGTGTGTTGTGTTGGTGTTGCGGGGTGTGTTGTGTTGGTGTTGCGGGGTGTGTTGTGTTGGTGTTGCAGGGTGTGTTGTGCTGGTGTTGCGGGGTGTGTTGTGTTGGTGTTGCTGGGTGTGTTGTGTTGGTGTTGCTGGGTGTGTTGTTGTTGGTGTTGCTGGGTGTGTTGTGTTGGTGTTGCGGGGTGTGTTGTGTTGGTGTTGCAGGGTGTGTTGTGTTGGTGTTGCTGCGGTGAGTGTCGCTCCGTGTTTGTTTACTGTGTTGGCTGGCGTGGCTCCCTGGTGTTGTAGGGTGTGTTGTGTTGGTGTTGCAGGGTGTGTTGTGCTGGTGTTGCGGGGTGTGTTGTGTTGGTGTTGCGGGGTGTGTTGTGTTGGTGTTGCTGGGTGTGTTGTTGTTGGTGTTGCTGGGTGTGTTGTGTTGGTGTTGCGGGGTGTGTTGTGTTGGTGTTGCAGGGTGTGTTGTGTTGGTGTTGCTGCGGTGAGTGTCGCTCCGTGTTTGTTTACTGTGTTGGCTGGCGTGGCTCCCTGGTGTTGTAGGGTGTGTTGTGTTGGTGTTGCTGGGTGTGTTGTGTTGGTGTTGTAGGGTGTGTTGTGTTGGTGTTGCGGGGTGTGTTGTGTTGGTGTTGCTGCGGCGAGTGTCGCTCCGTGTTTGTTTACTGTGTTGGCTGGCGTGGCTCCCTGGTGTTGCGGGGTGTGTTGTGTTGGTGTTGCGGGGTGTGTTGTTGTTGGTGTTGCAGGGTGTGTTGTTGTTGGTGTTGCAGGGTGTGTTGTGTTGGTGTTGCTGGGTGTGTTGTTGTTGGTGTTGCTGGGTGTGTTGTGTTGGTGTTGCGGGGTGTGTTGTGTTGGTGTTGCAGGGTGTGTTGTGTTGGTGTTGCTGCGGTGAGTGTCGCTCCGTGTTTGTTTACTGTGTTGGCTGGCGTGGCTCCCTGGTGTTGCAGGGTGTGTTGTGTTGGTGTTGCGGGGTGTGTTGTTGTTGGTGTTGCAGGGTGTGTTGTTGTTGGTGTTGCAGGGTGTGTTGTGTTGGTGTTGCAGGGTGTGTTGTGTTGGTGTTGCTGGGTGTGTTGTTGTTGGTGTTGCTGGGTGTGTTGTGTTGGTGTTGCGGGGTGTGTTGTGTTGGTGTTGCAGGGTGTGTTGTGTTGGTGTTGCTGCGGTGAGTGTCGCTCCGTGTTTGTTTACTGTGTTGGCTGGCGTGGCTCCCTGGTGTTGCAGGGTGTGTTGTGTTGGTGTTGCTGGGTGTGTTGTTGTTGTTGGTGTTGCAGGGTGTGTTGTTGGTGTTGCAGGGTGTGTTGTGTTGGTGTTGCTGGGTGTGTTGTTGTTGGTGTTGCGGGGTGTGTTGTGTTGGTGTTGCAGGGTGTGTTGTTGTTGGTGTTGCAGGGTGTGTTGTGTTGGTGTTGCTGGGTGTGTTGTTGTTGGTGTTGCAGGGTGTGTTGTTGTTGGTGTTGCAGGGTGTGTTGTGTTGGTGTTGCTGCGGTGAGTGTCGCTCCGTGTTTGTTTACTGTGTTGGCTGGCGTGGCTCCCTGGTGTTGCGGGGTGTGTTGTGTTGGTGTTGCAGGGTGTGTTGTGTTGGTGTTGCTGGGTGTGTTGTTGTTGGTGTTGCAGGGTGTGTTGTTGTTGGTGTTGCAGGGTGTGTTGTGTTGGTGTTGCAGGGTGTGTTGTTGTTGGTGTTGCGGGGTGTGTTGTGTTGGTGTTGCAGGGTGTGTTGTTGTTGGTGTTGCAGGGTGTGTTGTGTTGGTGTTGCTGGGTGTGTTGTGTTGGTGTTGTAGGGTGTGTTGTGTTGGTGTTGCAGGGTGTGTTGTGTTGGTGTTGCAGGGTGTGTTGTGTTGGTGTTGTAGGGTGTGTTGTGTTGGTGTTGCAGGGTGTGTTGTGTTGGTGTTGCAGGGTGTGTTGTGTTGGTGTTGCAGGGTGTGTTGTGTTGGTGTTGCAGGGTGTGTTGTTGTTGGTGTTGCAGGGTGTGTTGTGTTGGTGTTGCAGGGTGTGTTGTGTTGGTGTTGCAGGGTGTGTTGTGTTGGTGTTGCTGGGTGTGTTGTTGTTGGTGTTGCTGGGTGTGTTGTGTTGGTGTTGCAGGGAGTGTTGTGTTGGTGTTGCAGGGTGTGTTGTGTTGGTGTTGCAGGGTGTGTTGGTGTTGCAGGGTGTGTTGTGTTAGTGTTGCAGGGTGTGTTGTGTTGGTGTTGCTGCGGCGAGTGTCGCTCCGTGTTTGTTTACTGTGTTGGCTGGCGTGGCTCCCTGGTGTTGCGGGGTGTGTTGTGTTGGTGTTGCAGGATGTGTTGTGTTGGTGTTGCAGGGTGTGTTGTGTTGGTGTTGCAGGGTGTGTTGTGTTGGTGTTGCTGCGGCGAATGTCGCTCCGTGTTTGTTTACTGTGTTGCAGGGTGTGTTGTGCTGGTGTTGCAGGGTGTGTTGTGCTGGTGTTGCAGGGTGTGTTGTGTTGGTGTTGCAGGGTGTGTTGTGTTGGTGTTGCAGGGTGTGTTGTGTTGGTGTTGCAGGGTGTGTTGTGTTGGTGTTGCAGGGTGTGTTGTGTTGGTGTTGCAGGGTGTGTTGTGTTGGTGTTGCAGGGTGTGTTGTGTTGGTGTTGCTGGGTGTGTTGTTGTTGGTGTTGCAGGGTGTGTTGTGTTGGTGTTGTAGCAGCGAGTGTCACTACGTGTTTGTTTACTGTGCTGGCTGGCGTGGCTCCCTGGTGTTGCAGGGTGTGTTGTGTTGGTGTTGCAGGGTGTGTTGTGTTGGTGTTGCAGGGTGTGTTGTGTTGGTGTTGTAGCAGCGAGTGTCACTCTGTGTTTGTTTACTGTGCTGGCTGGCGTGGCTGTTCCGAATCATAATGAAATCTGACCCAAGTAGCAATTGGGTGAACCCATGTGTTGCGTTTCTATAATGGTCGCCCAAGTTAATGCCGATTTTAACGTTCAAAATTTCCCCACGGCACAGTGGTAAAACACTGACCTAACCTAACATTAAAAAACTTTTGTATTTTTGGTTTAACAAGTTATCGAGATGTTTTCAACAATATTCTTGGGGCGTTCACAGATTTTAACGTGGGCGACCATTTTGAAAACGCAACACATGGGTTAACCCAATTGCTGGCGTCGCATGGGGGTGTCGTGCTGGCGTCCCATGGTGGATGTCGTGCTGGCGTCGCATGGGGGGTGTCATGCTGGCGTCGCATGGTGGTATCGTGTTGGCGTCGCATGGGGGTGTCGTGCTGGCATCGCATGGGGGGTGTCATGCAGGCGTCGCATGGTGGTATTGTGCTGGCATTGCATGGTGGTATCGTGCTGGCATCGCATGGGGATGTCGTGCTGGCGTCGAATGGGGTGTCGTCCTGGCGTCGCATGGGGTGTCGTGCTGGCGTCGCATGGAGTGTCGTGCTGGCGTCGCATGGGGGTGTCATGCTGGGGTCGCATGGTGGTATCGTGTTGGCGTCGCATGGGGGTGTCGTGCTGGCATCGCATGGGGGGTGTCATGCAGGCGTCGCATGGTGGTATTGTGCTGGCATTGCATGGTGGTATCGTACTGGCATCGCATGGGGATGTCGTGCTGGCTTCGAATGGGGTGTCGTCCTGGCGTCGCATGGGGTGTCGTGCTGGCGTCGCATGGAGTGTCGTGCTGGCGTCGCATGGGGGTGTCATGCTGGGGTCGCATGGTGGTATCGTGCTGGCGTCGCATGGGGGTTTCGTGCTGGCGTCGCATGGGGGTGTCGTGCTGGCGTCGCATGGAGTGTCGTGCTGGCGTCGCATGGGGGTGTAATGCTGGGGTCGCATGGTGGTATCGTGCTGGCGTCGCATGGGGGTTTCGTGCTGGTGTCGCATGGGGGTGTCGTGCTGGCGTCACATGGGGGTGTCGTGCTGGCGTCGCATGGGGGTGTCGTGCTGGCGTCGCATGGGGGTGTCGTGCTGGCGTCGCATGGGGGTGTCGTGCTGGCGTCGCATGGGGGTGTCGTGCTGGCGTCGCATGGGGGTGTCGTGCTGGCGTCGCATGGGGGTGTCGTGCTGGCGTCGCATGGGGGTGTCGTGCTGGCGTCGCATGGGGGTGTCGTGCTGGCGTCGCATGGGGGTGTCGTGCTGGCGTCGCATGGGGGTGTCGTGCTGGCGTCGCATGGGGGTGTCGTGCTGGCGTCGCATGGGGGTGTCGTGCTGGCGTCGCATGGGGGTGTCGTGCTGGCGTCGCATGGGGGTGTCGTGCTGGCGTCGCATGGGGGGTGTCGTGCTGGCGTCGCATGGGGGTGTCGTGCTGGCGTCGCATGGGGGTGTCGTGCTGGCGTCGCATGGGGGTGTCGTGCTGGCGTCGCATGGGGGTGTCGTGCTGGCGTCGCATGGGGGTGTCGTGCTGGCGTCGCATGGGGGTGTCGTGCTGGCGTCGCATGGGGGTGTCGTGCTGGCGTCGCATGGGGGGTGTCGTGCTGGCGTTACATAGGGGTGTCGTGCTGGCGTCAGTTTTATATTGTCACAGG